TCCCCTACTTCTCCTCCATGGTTCCTTTCCTTAAAATAATTGTTCCAGACAAGTCTTTGTAGAGAAATGATAAGTGACAAGAACTGTGTTAGTAATTTAGAGTAACTTGTTTTCTTTTTAGATTTGATGGATAAAGAACTTGAAAGATTTGGGACTTTTCTATTATATACCTTGACAGAGGAGAGAATCTTATATAGACAAAGATGGAAAGACACACTAATTCCCACAATGGAAGTGTGCAGTGCTTTTTTTCTTAAAAAAATTAAAAAGGTGCCGGAACTCACACACATCATACAACCCGCCTTGCCTACCCTACAAGGTTCCATCCAAAAAAGGTGCTGGAACTCTGTTCTGGGCGTTCTATGAGAAAAAAAGCCCTGGAAGTGTGACTGGCAAAGATGATGGAGTTACTGGAGATAGCGAGGCTGTCTGTTTTAATTAAAGAGAAGAAACTATCTAGTTTTGTTTCTCCTGGACACCCTTTCTGGACTTTTTTGCCCAAAACTGAAAAGAAATGAAACTTTCACTTTAGATTTTGATGATTACAATGATTTTGGTATTGTAGAAATGGCTTGAAATCTTGTGAAATGTAAAGCAAAAAGTTGAGGTTGTGGGGTTATTTATTTATTTATTTAGTATTTTACTGCACTGAAAAAAGTCAAAAGTCACCACTTTCTCTGCACTTTTTTTTCTCTTAGTTCTTTTTCTCTGTATTTTTACTGTAGAATGAAACTTAATCTAAAAAAAATAATTAGAATAACTCTGAGCCCTTCCATATATATCATAAAGGAAATTGGGCTGTTCTTCACCTGTCTTCCTGTGGTCATATTGGATAGCCAGGTCTATGAACTCTGGAAATTCACAAGCTTGGCTCCTTATTCTGCTCCAGAGGAAAAGCTACTTTGATAGCTTCACAGGACTTCCTGTTATGATGGATAGGATGCCTTTCACTGGTGCCTTATCTCACCTCCGGGATTTTTCACCCCTCCTTGGCTTGGCTTAACCCCAGTTGTTGGGGGGGAGGGTTCTGCTCTGAATTTATGTGCATAGGCTATGGTTCAAACACCACAAGGGACAACTGATTCCTTCCTTTTATTGTGAACTTCCATGGGTCACTATTTTTACCTGTGGCTGCCTTTACTTTGAGTCCTAGTTAAAAAACAACAACCACAATCCTAAACCCACAACTATGAAAACTGCTGGCTTCTGCCGTGTGGCTATAAATATATTATTTATTTTTCAGGACACCTGTTAAGATAGAGTAGGTAGGTGGGCAATTATTTTGTGTAGGAAATGAAATGCTAAGGGCACAGATCCAGTTGTACATGGTCTAGTTGCATACACATATGTTGCTGTATATCAGTATAGCTCAACCTTAGCAACTTTTAAGATGTGTGGACTTCAATTCCCCATGTGGGCTGGGGAATTCTGGGAATAGAAGTCCACACATTTTAATGTTGCCGAGGTTGAGAAACACTGATCTAGTGTAAAAGTCACGGTTCTCTGCTTACTGAGGACCATTTGAGTCACTCTGTGACTGCTTCCACTAATCTAGACCAATCTTTGTTGCTTATACAAATGAATTGTTTTCAGAACGTCTTTTAATGTCTATTAGACAGATATTTCCAAATGCACTTCCCACTGCCGAGCAGCAGAAAAGAGTTCCTTACAACTGCTCTGAGTTCCCTAGAATGGAAATCTCATTCAACACTGTTTATCCAGCAGCCCTGGAAGTGGCTGCTATGTCTGCAAAACAAGAGGATTAAAAAAAAAAAAAATCTGCTGAATCAGAGAATAATTTTTCTCAGAAAAAAACAAAACAAAACTCCTTTATGGTAATTTCTTGCTCATCATGATGGATCTTAGCAAATTACAAGAATGGGGTTTTGGTGTAGGGTTGTAGTCACATGAGCTGAAGGGTGTGTGTGGAAACACACGTAGGCAAAGGATTTTGTGTATCACAGACAGAATTTTTCATCTCTTAGACTTTTACTCCAGTAATTATTATTTACAGCCTGGATTATTAGATGAATGATGATTTTCTTTGCGACTGTAGGTTAACAATAATGCATCTGATCATTACCTAAAACCAGGGGGATCCATGGCAGGGAAGGTTAAGAAAGAAAAGATAAAGGCTTCCATGTTGACTTTTTTGTCCACACACTATGGACATCCACCATACATATCACTAGAAGGCAAAATCACGAAACTGCATCTCACTTATTGTGGCCATGTCAGGGGAAATTCACTAGAGAAAACAATTATATTTGGAAGAGGTAGCAGAAAAGGAGACCAGGCTGTCAAAGAACATGGTGGCTGGACACCATCAAAGCTGACACTAACCAGAGTATAGAAAAACTCAAAGAAGTAGTGCAAAATCAGAAGATGTGGAGAGATCTGGCCCATAGAATCACCAAGAATTGGACATGACTGGATAACATCCTCATCATCTTCTTCATCATCATCATCATCATGGACATCCCTGGTAGGAACTCCTTTTTCTGTCTCCTTAGGAATCTCCTTCCTTTTACAAGCACACAGTAGGGAGGGACATAGAAAGAGGCAAAAAGTAGGAGGTGGAAGAACCTCCCTCTACCCCCCCCCACATGTCTGCTCATAAGGATGCTGAGTTCAGTTGACCCACTGCAGATTTCTTTTTAGTTTTTCTTTTCTGTATGAAGTAGGAAGCAAGGGGAAACTTTTGGAGGAATAAGGAGAAAAAACCCATCAAATAGTATATGTCCTCTATCACATATTGCCATCGCATAATGAAAATGTGGAGTCACTTAAAGAGATATAGTAGATCAGTGGTTCTCAACCTATGGTCCATAGACCCCTGGGCGGCTGCAATGTTATCACTAGGCTTAAAGAAATGTTATGATTTAAATCTTGAGTTAAGACTTGAGGGTCCATGGCCATGCTCTGTGGCCAAAAAGGTATTGAAAGGGGATCCATGGTGAAGAAAAGGTTGAGAACCACTGTGGTAGATCATTCATATTATGAAAAGCCCTTGAGAACCATCTTCATTTCCCTCTTTCTTCCTCTTTGCCTCATTCTTTGCCTGGATACAATCTGCTTAGTAGCATCCTTATTTTGTCAGTCCTCTTCCAATATTTTGTCTCAGTTAACTGCACCCATCCTGGGTTTTTTTTCCTCTATATATCATAGGATTCTTTTTACAGTCACAAACTAATCCAGATTCACACATTGTGCTGTGCCATGGGTGGGTTCAGACATTGATTTGGCTCATTGTGTTAATAGGTTTGCAAGCTGTAGTTGATGACTTAACAATGTGTAAAGCAAGCCAATGATGGCTTGTTAAAATATTCACCAACAAACTGTGTGAACATATTGTATTATGCTTTCATGCATGTCATATAGTTTATTGCTGGTGAACCAAGCCATTGTGACTTATTTGCTGAAAACCATAATGAAAACAAATGTGTATAATGTGTGGTTAAAGCATTAGGCTAGAAACTATAATACCATGAATTCTAGTCCCATCTTGGGAACAAAGCCAGCTGCATGACCTTGAGCCAGTCAACGCTATCTCCACCCTAGGAAGGAGATAAAACACTTCTGAAAAATCTTGCCAAGAAAAAAAAACTGCAGGCACTTCTCCAGGTAGCTACTGAGAACATTATTTTAACCATGGACATATTAACCTTGTTCTGGCTTTCAGGTCTTCTTCTATCTGCCTTTCTGCATAACACAAGGAGAAGAGCTCACACAAAGAGAAGACCATAACTGAGTGGCTACTACTACCATCTTGCTACTAAGCATGCAGAAAGTCCCACATTCAAGTGCTAGGATTACCAAATGTGGCTGGAAAAACTCTGGCTCAAAAATTGGAATAGTCATGGCTAGCCAATGATGGCCTAATTGGACTGATTCTACTTCAAGAAGCTTCCTGTGTCAACAGTATGGAAGGTCAATCAATCAATCAAGATAAGACACTACTACTAGTCATAGTAGTACATCTGACCAGTGAGATCCCCAAGTTATCTAGAAACTCTACTAGCTATGTGCAATGATAAATTTTGTGTGCTCTGTAGCTAACCCATCAGCACTTCTCCACTACTGACTCCCAGCATCTCATATTCCGCAACAAGTTATATATAGGCTAAAGGGAGTACTTTTCCCCTCTTTCATTCAGTCATGTCCAATTCTCCAGGACTACCTGGACAAGTGCCTGCAGTTTTTTTTTTCTTGGCAAGATTTTTCAGAAGTATTTTATCTTCTTCCTAGGGTGGAGATAGCATGACTGGCTCAAGGTCATGCAGTTGGCTTTGTCCCCAAGATGGGACTAGAATTCATGGTATTATAATTTCTAGCCTAATACTTTAACCACCAGTGTCTCTCTATAGGGAGCTAGCCATTCCTAAACCTTATATCTGCTTTAACAAAACACAATTGCTTTCTTCCCCGAATATACTATATCCAAACAAATAAACCATATTGTAGCTTAAGGTGATGGTTGTTTCATACAGCAAGCTCAGAGTTAGATTCCCACAACAGATTAAACTATGAACTATTCATCCCTTTTGAGCTTTTTCTGGGGCATTATGTGAACCCTGCAGCTCACAGGATTGCCATCTTTCACTTTATACTTTTGTACATGCACTTAAATCATACATAGAACAAAATGCTCTGCTTGGTAGTAGAACAGATATGAAGTTTTGCAAAGGAGTGTGTTGGCTCATTCATATCAAAGAAGAAAGACAGCTGAGTAAGAGGAAAGTAGTTCCATTTATATCAACATTTATTTTATTTTACAAAGGAAGTTGAGAAGCTATTCACATCCTGGCCCACTCAGAGGCCCAGGCAATGCCCTTCTCACTTCATCCTCACCGTTAGTGCTTCCTGCATGAATTATCTCTGCTTTCCTGTTGGCAGGAACTGAATTCCAAGTGGTACAAAGGCTTGGGACAGGATATAAACAGGAAACGTCATCCAGATGACGCCATGGGCCTCTCAGCTCTGGGTGAGTAGGTTCCTGTGCTTTGCTCTGGTGTGCAATGGTTATGAGTGTAGGCCTGGATGCTGAAATGTAAGTTTGCTAGCAAAATAATATTATTATTTTTTTTAAAAAAGAAGAAGGTAGCAGTATGATGTGGATGAAGGAGTTAATGAAATCATTTTCTCCAAAGCCTCAGGCTGGTAATATTCTGTGAGATTCACATTTATCATTTTAACAGGTACAGATTATTGCTGTCTTGTTATGTAGGATGGTAATACATACTGTACTCAGGGCTTTTTTTCCTCATAGAACGCCCAGAATGGAGTTCCGACACCTTTTTTGGATGGAACCTTGTAGGGTAGGCAAGGCAGGTTGTATGTCATGTGTGAGTTCCGGCACCTTTTTTTTTTTTAGAAAAAAAGCACTGACTGTACTGAACATACCTGCCAGATCTGCCTCTTTGCGTGGCACCAAGGCACTTTATTTGAAAGTATAGTGTTCTTTGTCTGTGCTCATTTTTGGCATTCTGGGTACTTTAACATCATAGAAGCAATTTACAACACTTTCACTGGAGATACTTGCAAGCTCGGAGCAAACACCTTACCAGACTGGAGTCTGACACCATATGAAATAACTGAGCCTTTTTTTTTTTTTTTTGCTTTCAAATGTAACTGAAGGAAATAAGGAAACAAAATTAGGTGCTACAGCTGCAATTTACCACTCTTGAGCGAAAGCCAATTTGAACTCAGTGGCACTTATTTCTGAATAAGCACAGCTAAGTTTAAACTGTGTTGTGGAAGTGACAGTTTAAAGATGGGCAACAATTATTTCCAAATCTATATTGTGCCATATCATTTCTCCCTATTTTACAAAAAACTAAGAGCATTATCTAATAGACCGAAAATAACAGATCTGTTTTAGTTTTAATTGTGTTGTTAATTTTACCTTCTCCTCTTACTGATTCCATATATGAACATAGAATTCAGCCAGATAGAGAACTTATACAATAGGAACCTCGTTCCAAACCACCCAGAATTCCTCCCCCCCAACACAATATTAGGAATTTTACTGCCATGCACCTGTTGCAGTTTTAATTCCTTATGACTTAATCCTTTTAAACTAGAGTGAAACTACAGCTTATCATTTCTTATTCCCTTTTTTATGTTGCTAATGTTAAAAGGAAAATTGTGTGATATGTATTGCCTGCTAAAAGTTTAATCTGAGAGTTTTCTTAATAAATCCAAACATTATTAATACTGCATTTATTAATTCATTAATAAAACTATGTAGGAAAATACTCTTCTCTTCTACAGATGGCCTCTAACTGATGTGAGAGAAAGTTAACAAGAGGCTATGAATATTTTATCAAGGTAACTGTTTAATAAAATGCTTGATTAAAACATTTGGTTACTTTTAAGCTTCCTATCCTTCAAACCAACATCTGCCCAAGGATGACCATGGTGATAACTTCATACTCTTGTGCTTGTTGCATCTACTCTGCAGTTACACACACATTTTCCATGCTAAAACCTGAATATGTCACATATTTGAAAAAGTAAATAGCAGTTGCCCAGAGTAATACAGTACTCATTGCTGGAATTGCAACCAGTCAGGAGAACTTAACTTTTTCATCCCCTCCAGTGATCCTGTTCAATATATGTTTTCCAAAGCCACTATTTGAATTAGGAGGAAATCATCTTTGTACTTCTGTATGTATCTTAACGGTCAGGGATGCAGACACAAACTGTGGTGTCCCAACATTGCCACGTTCCATCTGTGAAATATAAAAGGATGAAAGATTCCACAGAAAGGATTAGTCTCAGCATCTTAGTAACCTTTAGAAAGGTTCAAGTTTCTCAACATGAGGCCAGCTGTTTCCAGCTGAGAGAGCATATTTGCCACAAGAGGAAGGATGGATGCTGAATCATGATTCACCATGGTTTTTTGAATTTTTTTTTTTCAATTAGTGTGCTTCACTACTTTAGAGAAATGAGAACCAAAGGCAAGAAACCACAGGCTTACGGTAGATCAAAAAGAACTCCTTCAACTTTTGGGAATATAAGAAACTGCCCTATGCAAGGAGAGCTATTTCACTGATCCCTCTGGCTGGAGGTTCTTAAAAAATCAATCACAGGTGTTGTTGTTTTTTAGGCCTATCAAAAGATGCCAAGGATTAAACCCGGACCTCTAATATGTGCCCTTTTACTGAACTGTGGATTTCAGAAGGATATTCATTGTTCCTCATATCTTCTAGTCTGGCATTCATCATTTCCTGTGCATACCCTCCACCGTCAGTCATGGCAGCGTGTCTGTCAGACTGGATTGAAACTCAGAACTTGAAATACAGGTAGTCCTCAACTCGCAACAATTCATTTAGTGACAGGTTTGAGGTTACAACAGCACTGAAAAAAGTGACTTATGACCATTTTTCACACTTATGACCATTACAGCATCCTCATGGTCATGTGATCAAAATTCAAACACTTGGCAACTGATTCATATTTATGACAGTTGTAGTGTCCAGTGGTCATCAAATTCACTTAACAACTGTGTTACTAATTTACCAACTGCAGTGATTTAACGGTGGCATGGGAAGGTTATGAAATGGGGCAAAATTCACCTAAATGTCTGGCTTAGCAACAGAAAAGTTGGGCACAGTTGTGGTAATAAGTCAAGGACTACCTGTATCTGTTTCAAACTGGTGCCCTCTAGATCTGTTTGGGTGCAAACTAAGGTAACTCAGCACAGCAGTAAGGATTCTGGAAGCCTAAATCCAACAGAACTGAAGGATATCAGGTTTTGGAATAAAGACTTTACCTTATTTAAGTATATAGTGTAGATGTATGAATCCGTGGTCCTCTTGGTGATACTGAAGGAACTTAGAATTTTGCTTTAACAATTCTTAGAGGTTGGTGAATTCTCCACTGATTCAATATGCTGATTTAAAATACTGTATTATCTTGCCTTTTTCCCCACAACAGGAAAGCAAGGACCAACCAATCAGAAGCCAACCATCTCACCTCCGTTGCTGAATTGTACTTTGAACAACTTGTTAATCCCTGCTAATATATATATATATGCCTCCTGGCTATCTGTCTTTGCTTTAAGGCATCCCTGTATGCCTTTAATAAACCAATTAAACTCATCTTTCTGACATAATTGCTTCAGGGGGTGAAGGAAAAAATAATTCTCTCCCAGGCATTTGTAGGATGCAATTAATGATGTTGTAATTAACCTTAATGTATCACCCTTGAGAAGACAGCTTAAAAACTCACACATCAAGAGAAGTTCAGTTTTATTTATTAATTAAAATGGCTATTCAGAGTCTAAAGCTTTAAACAAATTTGAAGGTGTAGTTAGGTAATTAGTAATGCTGGCCTAAAAATACAGACATTGATAGTTGAAATATGCAAACATATATTTATGTCAGTAATACCGGTACACTATAATCTACTACAGGCCTCCTATTGTCTGTTTCAATTATTCAAAAGGTAGGAATGTAAGTCTTTTAGTTATCTTTTGACTCTGTGGTCCCTTAAAATAGTTTAAAATCTTGGGCCATCCAAGGAGTAGAACAATTTATGGATCTACCTGAATATTCCAGTATTTTAAGTCTTGGGTTTACCAGTATGGTTCTGTGCTCACATTTTTATGATGCATTTTAATCCTCTTTTTATCCTTCAAGTTGCTTGTGACTAGTTGTCTTTAAAAGTTGACTACATAAAATGAATGGAATAAACTTATTTACAAAAACATGAAAGCCCACAATAGGAGAGTTCATAAATGAAATACCTGTAAGGACAATAGTATCAGTTTTTAGTACCTTGGTATCACATGGCATCTCCTGGGGCTGGCCAGGCCCCACTTTCTCCATGGCCAATTAGATCACTACTCCAAACAGACTCTCTTTGGATAAGAGTGAAGGTTCTACAAGCTTGTGGGTTGATTTCTGAACGTTTTGTTACCAGGCTAGGTAACATCTTCAGTGGAATTTAGGGGAGGTCAGTGTCAGTGTTCTTCTGTTTACAAGGGCTTCAGTATGGGTGTGTCAAGTGTGATGGGTCTTATGATGAACCAAGTGTCAGTCATCAATGAGAATCTTGTGATGGGGAGGTTACATCAGGTCAGGGTCATTGGGAGCTTACGGGGGGGGGGTTTGTGTGGGTTGGTTGAGGGTTGGTGCTGTCTCTGATTGGCTTTGTGGTTGATTTGGATGCTGAGGGGTTCATAGGCTGGTTGTAGGTCAATGTGTCTGTTGCTTGTGGAGTGCCAGGCTTTGATGAACTCATGAGCATGGTGGGTGGTAGAGTGGCTGATGATTTTTGTGTTGCTCCAATCGAATTGGTGTTATTTGGTGTTGGTGTGGGTAGAGATTAAGGATTTGGGATTGTGGTGTTTGACTGCCAGCTGATATTCATGGATCCTGTTTTTTAACTGACGTGATGTTTGTCCCATGTTTGTCCCAGAACTGGTTGCAATGGTTACAGTTGATTTTGCAGATTACATTTTTTTTTTCATCCTTCTGTATCTTGTCTTTGGTGGATAATACCTGGTGGAGTGTGGCTCTGGGTTTGTGATTAAAGTTATCTCTTTGGATAACTAGAGAGTGAAAATGTTGGGGATGAGGAAAAGCCATTAGAGAGCTGCTGTAGGACCCCAAATTTGCTCAGCGATGTTGAAAGAAACTAATTAGGAAGAATTGTCAATGGATTCCCTCATCTTAAATGGAAGGGTAACTTTTCAAGATGAGGCTTGGTAAAGAAGATAATTTTAGATAGGTAGAAAGAGACTTTCTTTCTAATATATAGGAATAGATTCAGGATATGGGTCTGTTACCTATTTCTGAAAACTCTTTACATTCAGTAAATGAGCAGATAAAGAGATATGCTTCTACATGTTATAGATTTAATGATAAACTAAAGGATTTATTGATCTAATATAGAGACTATGTCTTCTTATACTTTTTTTTGTTTCTAATTTATATTGATGCTTTATTAGATAACCATTACTAGAAGGGGAGTGCAATTGCTTATATTTTCACAGTTTAAATAAAACCTAAAATAAGCTACAGTTAAGGCACCTGGCTAGAAACTGGAAAACTGTGAGTTCTAGTCCTGCCTTAGGCATAAAGCCAGCTGGGTAATCTTGGGCCAGTCCCTCTCTCTTAGCCTAGGAAGGAGGCAATGGCAAAACGCTTCTGAAACCATGCCAAGAAAACTGCAAGGGCTTGTCCAGGCAGTCACCAGGAGTAAAAACTGACTTGAAGGCATTAAAAAAAAACAGTAAAGCACCAGCTCACAGTTAAGCAATCACATTTAAGCAATCACATTTAGCAGGTTGTGGGAGCCATGCCCAAGCCTTATGTGTTGATAAGGTGACCAACCGTCCTCCTTTAGGGAGGACAGTCCTCCTTTTGTGAGTTCTGTCTTCCCTCGAAAAGTGTCCTCCTTCATGTCCTCCTTTTTGATATTTGGAGACTAATCTGCAAGGCTTTTTTTCCCCTCATAGAACGCTCAGAACAGCATTCTGGCACCTTTTTTTGATGTTTTTTTTCCCCAGCTTTTGCATGAGCTGTGCTACTCCCACTATTGGCTTTCGAAAGTGGGAGCGCTGCTGAGCACCCCAAAACACCCGGCTGGCAAACTTCGCACATGCAAGTTGTCTGTATTATTGTTGCAATGAATAAAATGTTTCTTTTATTTACGATTTTTTTTCTTCAATTTATTTGTGTCCTCCGTTTCATTGTAAAAAAGTTGGTCACCTTAGTATTGAAGTGAAAGTGAACACTTCATCCTATCCTATTTAAAAAAAAAAAAAAACTCTTGAGTTCTGTCACTCCCAGTTCCTTCCCTATAAAATATGTAATATAGGCACAAAAGTATGTAAAAGCCTTTGTTTTGCACTATTACAACAAGCGTGCATCCTTTTTGTCTTCCAATATAATCTTTATCATTCATATTTAATAATTAGAATAACAGAGCTGGAAGGGACCTTGGAGGTCTTCTAGTCCAACCCCCTGCACAAGCAGGAGACTCTACCATTTCAGACAATGGGCTATCCAGTCTCTTTTTGAAACCTCCAGAGATGGAGCACCCACAACTTTTGAAGGCAAGCTATTACACTGGTTCTTTGCTGGTACTTTGGAACATAATTTATTTTCCAATAATAATTTGAAAAAAATATCATAATGTGATAATTTGATATAACAACTTGAAAAAGTCCTGTGATTTGAGCTCAGGGAAAAAGCAGGATGAGATTAGTATGTTTGAAACTACACAACACATTTGTTATCAAACATCAGCAATCATTTTACAGATGATTTATTACTAGCGCATGCATTTAAGTTTTAAATGTGTGACTTTTCTATTCAGTATTATATTTTGTTATGAACTTCATTGAAACTTCTGCCGAATGAAAAAGTGGAAAATCAATTTAGTGAAGAAATGCATTGAATAATGGCTCCTCTTATTGTTGTCATAGGCTTTTGACAAACCAGATACCAACTCTTAAGCAGGTCATAGCCATTTTAAAATCTATTCCCTTATTCCCAATGTTTAATATGCATATTTTACTATTTTAATAAATGGCCTTCCTCCCATTTGAAAAATAAAATTGGGCTACACTTCTTGGGTTTCTCCTGGCTTCCTCTTTTAACTAACTGGGACCTGAGGCTGCAGTTTGTTCCAGGCAGGAAACAGATGGGATAAATAATGTTTTTAAGAGAAATTTCCCTTGAAGAAAAGGCTGTATGTTTCCTTCACACTGGTTATTAACATCTTAGGTAATAGCTAAAACTCCAGCAGGTGCTTCAGAAAGGATATTTAATTTTCATCCTCAAGAGATTAACCTGTTTCTTTTCCTTCAAGATTGTCAAAAGAAATACAATAAGAAATAGTTGCCCTGGGGTGAAAAGGTGTATGTATACCTCAAGCATAACAAGCATTGCTTGCAACAATAAGACACTGAGCTGATCTATATTTATTTCTAGGGATGCTTCCAGATGCCAAGAATAGCAATGAAAACAGACCCACAAAGCACCTTCATGCACCATTAGTAGAGTCTCTGGCAGAGGGTTACTGTATCAGGGTTGCAAAACTCCGGATGGACACTAGGTGGCAGCCCTGAATTGCAGAAAATGCCCTTTTCCTCCATCCAACCATCTTTTGCATTTTTTTTCATTCCACATGTTTATTAGATTT